ACTTGCTCCAGGTCACAGAGCGGGTAAGTTAGGGAGCAACATGCAGGGCTGTCTTGCTCCACAGCCCTTGATCAGAGTGGTGACACTGCCAGGACCAGCTACATAACTTGCAGGGCTCAGTGCAAAATGGAAAGGCCTGGCCCTTGTAAAAGAATTCTTAAGAATTTCAAGACAGCAAGAGCAGAGCATCAGACCTATCGCAGGGCCCTCGTAAGGGTAGAGTCCCATGCTACCATCTGTGAACCCAGCCCCGGGCTCTGCATTTCCATCATCATGTCATGTGGTTCCACTGCCACCTCCCAGATGCTCAGAGGGTGGGCACAGCGGCCTGGAGAAGCTTTCTGCCCGGAAGCCTGAGCCCCTGCCTGGCACGTGCGCCCCAGAGATGTGAGAGCACCCTGTCTGCTGGGGGGAACCCATGCGGGGAACCCATGCTACCCAGCACAGGGGAGAAACAGCCCTCCCTCCTAAACGCTGTGCTGAATTCCTCGAACCCACGAGCCTGGGAGCTGAGAGTACAAATTTCAGCTCAATACAGAAGCATCCTTTGAGTCAATCTTTACATTTTTCTTTTTTATTATAAAAGTAACATAATCCTATTGCACAGACTTAGGAAAATAGATAAAAGGAGGAAAAAACACAAACCTTGCATCCCATGTGTCTGACCCCCCTGCTGTGGGCAGGTGCTGTGTTTTCCTGTCTCTTACAGAGGACTTCCCATCGGGACTACCAGGGATGGAACAGACGGCCTCCTCCTTGTCCCCAGCGCCTGGCACACGGCAGGGGTGCCAGGAATGGGGAATAAAGCCGGAATGGATGGATGTTATGAAGGGACTTGGCTTGGATGACCTTTCAGATTCCTCAGGACTCTGAAAAACTCAGAATTCTTCGGTTCATAGCAAATGCCTGGTGTTGACCTGGGGTTCAAGTCCAACATGCCAAGCCCTTGCTGGGGTCCCAGAGGTGACTGAGACATGGCCTGTGCCCCAGAGGAACTTGGTTTAGGCAGTCATGGGTGTCCCTAAATTTCCAAGCCTTGGTGAATGAAACTTTGGCATATTTCACTCATTCCCTCACTCACCCATTCACTCTCTCATCAAATATTTATTGAGCACCTACTAAGCACTAAGCATTGCACTGAGTACATTAAGGGCTACTTTCTTTGGGGAGAAGATGGTAGGGTAGAAAGTGTATGAGTTTGGAGTCAGGCACCCTGGGCCTCTGTCCCTTCCTGGCTGTGTGGCCCTGACCCATGTTACCTGACCTCTCTGAGCTTCCACCTCTTTGTTTGTAAAATAGGGTCATATCTGCTATGAGGATCAACTCGGTAACACACATGGAACACTTGGAGCTCACAGATGCTCAGTGTAGGTAACTTCTTTCTCCCCACCCTCCCCTCCACCCCTCCCGCCAGTACCAACAGTAACAGCCACCACTGTGGTGAGCCAGATAGAAGGGGTTTTGCAAATATTATCAGCTAATTCTCAAATTATTGGCCCCATGAGGTAGGAAACATTGTCCTTAACCTGTTTTTTTTTGAGGACAATTAGCCCTTAGTTAACATTCACTGCCAATCCTCCTCTTTTTGCTGAGGAAGACTGGCCCTGAGCTAACATCCGTGCCCATCTTCTTCTACTTTCTATGTGGGACGCCTACCACAGCATGGCTGGCAAGCAGCGTGTAGGTCCGCACCCGGGATCTGAACTGGCAAACCCCGGGCCGCCAAAGCGGAACACGAGAACTTAACTACTGCGCCATTGGGCCAGCCCCCGTCCTTAACCTGTTTTGCTATCCAATTTCAAAACCAGAGGGAGCTCGCCACTTCCAACGTACCGCGTGTGGGAGAGCTTGTCTCTTAGCGTCAGATCCCCGTGCATCCTCTTCTGTGCTGGGAGGCTGCTCATGCAAACGCCGACACTTTATTTGCTGAAATGGTTTACAAAAAAAATTTCAGGCTGAAACGGGAGCCTTTGCAAGTTTACTTCTAGATGCACGAGCAGTTTCTCTTTCAAGGCAAAATGTGGTGAACATGACTCAGGAGGGAAACACACCTTGTGTCGCCCAAACGGGTTTTGGAGCACGAGGTGGGTCAAACTTCCCTGTGGCTGGAGGCTTCATCTCTGACTCCTGTGTTTTCTTGATGACACCTCAGGGAGATCAAGATGCAGCTTCAGCTTGCTACTTTCTAATTCTGGGGTGGGGGACAGCTGGGCAGGTGGGGAAGAGCAGGACCTATCTGGCTTCACTACTTTTTAGATGTGACCTTGGGCAAATGACTTACGCTCTGCAGGCCTGATTCTTCATCGGTAAACCGAGGACAACGTCAACAGGGCTGTTTGGAAGATTCAACGGGATTGCTTACGTAGAGGGCCGGGAACACGGAAGGTGCAGGAGTGTGGTTCTGCTCCCTCGTGCTAGGTGCGGGGACGGCGGGGTGGGGTTTTCTGGGCAGGGCTCACTCTGGGCACTGCTGGTGGACATCTCCTTCGGAAAGAATTTCCTACCATGAAGTGAATCCTTCTGAAACACCAAGTCGTCCTCTGAGCTCTGCCTTCTGGAGCCTCTTCCAAGCATCTTGCCAAGAGGGGCTTCCCCAGGCGTAAACACAAGCAAGCATGCGGGTCCTCCCCAGCAGAAGCACCTCCACGGGAGGGGTGATCTGGGGTCACACTCAACCTCGGGACTGCTACTCTGAGGACGAAATCAGGGTAGAAGCAGCCAGTGACAGGAACGTCCTCCCAGGGCCCGGGGTGCATGAGGATCTGACAAGTTAGGAACACCCATGTTCCTAGGGTGATGTGGGTGTTGTCACCAGAAAGCATGTGTGGAATGCGACTGTAACGAGCAAGGTGGAAGCCTGCTCGATTGCATCACATTCTGACTTCCACGCTTTCCAAACTTGGCTATCAGAATTCCCAGGGAATCCGTTAGGAACGCTGAGAGTACTGGGCCCCATCTCCAGGCTCAGACTCACGCTTGGAGCCTGAAGAGAATATGTTAGCTGTCTCCAGCCTTGCCACCAGACTGTCCTGAACCACGACCCTCGCGGTTCAGTTTCAAAAACATCTTACACCAAGGGCTGCATCACAGCCTGACTGCATTAACCATCAGAGTCGGCCCCCTAGCTTTTTGCTTCGATTTCCTACTCCATAAGCAATTTCTAACCACAATTTGGTTTCAAATGTAGATTTATCTAGGACTCAATGTGCTAACGGCAAGTGAGAGCAATCTGGCCCGTGACAGCCATGATTCTTGTTGTCAGGTAGCAAACTTGCCTTCCAGTTTACCCGTCAGCTTCCTGTGAGTCCAGGTGAGGGACAGGGCAAGTCTAGGTGAACAAAACAAAGTCTCTTCTGGATCTACAGGCACTGGAATTCAGTTGTCACACCAAGGGACTCGTCTGGGAGAGACAGTGCCCACCGTGGATGTGTAGGTGTGCACCTTACACCTCCCAGCCCCCTGGCAGTCAGTGGGGGGGCGGGGGGCGTGTGACTTGGTCTCACGCATCAGAATGTGAGCAGGTGTGACCATCGCATCCAGACAAGGGCAGTCAAGGGTGAACGTGAGTCCTCATGTTCCTTCCTCGGACTGCGCAGCTACAAGCAAAGAACTCCAAGACGGCAGGGTCTTATGACAGAAGCAGCTGGCTTTGCTGGTCACCCAGGGAGGAGAGCTACCAAAGCTCACTGCAGCGGCCTGTGACCTGAGCCCTGGACAAGCCTCCACCTTGTTTGGGGAGAGTTTCCCTGGGACTCCTGCCCTGGCCGTCAGCTCTAACCAGCCTCTCCGGTGCCCTCTCCCATGAAGCTAGGTGTGAGCAGCTTAGGGGTTCTCTCGAGCACACCTCTAGCTTTATGCTTTCTGCCTGTGCGGGAAGAGACATCACCCACAGCCCAAGTGCCACCCTGGTGGGGAGGTTTTTGGCACATAAATGACCACCCACAAGTGGGCCTGCTCTTCCTTACTGGCAAAATCAGGAGGAAAAAAGATGATTCCTGGAGGAGCTAACATTTTCCCTTTGGTTCTTTCTTTGGTCTAACTTGTCCAGGTTGTTAGCAGGGGGCCTAGCAGACAGTGGGTGCTCAGGAGAGCCTGACCATCACGATGGTGGAGATGTGTCTGACCATCTCGGCAAGGGCTGAAGAGGCAGTTTCCTTTTGCATAAGTTCACAGGTCATCAGACATTTATAAACAAAAAGTTTATTTCCATCACAAGAAGCACACAGACTATACAGTACACACCAACAGAAGTAAAAAAAAAAAAAGTGCATTATGCATCTTCTACTGCAAATTCACAGTACAAAAGATACTGCCTTTTAAATATATAATATAAAAAAAAAAACAAGAAGAAAACCAATAGAATAAAAAAAACCCCCATGGATGTAATGCAACACACTGGGAACCCACTGGCAACTCCTAAAAACCAAAGGGCAGCCCATCCCGGGGTGCTCCTGATTTTGGTGCGGGGCTGGGGGGGGGGGGTCTGTACCTGCATTTTGTTGCAAAGAGCTCAGGACACTAACAGAGAGGAAAATAGGGTGGTCGACGTGGTAATAAAAAGTCTATTAAACAAGAGTATGATTGTGTGATGGGGGAACGGGTGAGGGGCTGGGCTGCGCCACCCCCCAGCTGGCTAGCCAACCCAGTTCCGCTCTTTCCTCACTACCCCAGGACGCAGAGGGAGCCAGCGCCCGCCTCGCCCGCAGGAGCTCCCAGCGCTGTCGAGAGCGATGCTCCTGGGGCGGTTGTGGGCACACGCGTGAGGCCGCACAGCAGATGAGTCAAGTATGGGGCAGGACAAGCGCCAGCCCTACCGCCAACCACCACCGACAAGGCAAAGTATCCAATCACAGAAGGTGAGAGCTTAACAGTTTCCCATAAATACACAGTATTTGTAAACTATTATTAAGGCACTCAATTGTAAAACAATAATTACAGTGTAGGAAAGAGGGCGGAAGCAGCCACCTTCTCGTGCAGCACGGCCGACAGCAAGGACAGCAGAGGACCGGAGGTCTGACTATAAAGACTCCTGTTTAAGAGACCGGCTGAAGCCAGGGCCACAGCACCTACGGCAAGACAAACAAGGCAGTCCCATCCCGTCCCCCAGCTCCCGAGGGCGGTGCCACACAGCGCCACTCCAGATCACCCAAGGCGACCCGCTTCACAGCACGGGGGACATGGCGAGCATGGATGAGAGAAGTGACGCACGTGATGATGCGGTTCAAGTTATACATATATTCAAATATATATATATGCAGAGTGAACTCATACACGTAGGTATTCAGCTGCAGAGCACACAATTAAAAAACCAAGCAGCTGAGCGTGGGGGTCAATCAACAACCTTGGTTTGGCGTGCAGCGTTGGCAAGAACCTGGGGGTGCGGTTGGGGGACCAGAGCAGGCGACTCTGCATTGTGCTGTCCAGATGTCACAAACGTCATGGCCCGCCGAGCTCTCCTGCCAGAGGTGAAGTGGTTGCCCTCACTGCGTGTGTGTCTGGGGCAAGCCCAGCTAGAGGGGAAGCCAGAAACTAGGGTTCGGGGAAACGTTTTCTGGCACCAAGCACTTCCGGCCAGCAGAGAGCAAGGCCCTCTTTGGACACCTCGGGTGAGGTTACTTAGATGATCTTGACTAAATGGCGCAGGATTTGGTCTCACTAGGGAGAAATGCCCCCCAGGGAGCAGGGGCATTTACCAGCCTTCTGGGATCGGGCCGTGTGGAGAGACCAGAGTGCAGAAGCACAGGGGTGTCCTGAGGGCGTTAATTCTATTGCACATTTGGCTCCATCCTGTGGCATCCTCTGGGCTTGTCCATGAGGGAAAAGGCTTTAGAATGGACTGGAATGGTCTTTGGCTGGAGAGGGCGGGGTGGAGCAGAGAGGCAGTGGCCAGCGCAGCCACGGTGAGCACCTGGGGAGTAACCTCATGCCTGATGGACAGGGTGCCACGAGCCAGCAGAGAGCCGTCGGGCAGCACACATCCCTGCACTGAGACTGAGGAGGCGGGGGACCCCAAGAGCAAGAACCTTGTTCTTAAGAAGCTCAGGCAACGACAGACGTTGCTCCAAGACCCTGAAGTAGTCAGAAGACGGAGAAATGGAAACTGGCATTGTCACGGCATGATCAGAGGGCAGCTTGGGGTACCCTCTCTCCATGACCAGTTTCCCCCTTCGACTTGACAAAACTATCTTAATGGGGCCCCATCTCAATGCAAGATGAGATGGAGTTTAGTCTAGCTTTTGGCATGCCGTATGAATTAAAGCAAGGGAAAGGTGAGGTGGAAGACGAAAGGCAGCTGAATACACAGGGTACCAAGCTGATTTAGACAATTTTTGTTCTCTCCTAATTCGAGAAAGGCATTCTGTAAAAATGGCAGTCACCAAAATCAATGACTTTCCCGGCATAAACCCCTGCCTCTCACTTGTGCCGCTCACGTTCAGGATTTCCCCACCGGCTAAGATGACAAAGCATCAGTCAAGATTTGGCATAGCTTATGGAGCAGACGTTCTTTTCAGAGACCAGAAATGAATCTGTCTTCGCCAACGTACCCCCAAGCCTGGCAGAATGCTCTCAGCTCATTAGTAGAATATCTCAAATAGCAATCCACTATAGGTTTACACGCAACTGCTCTGGGTCTTAGAGAAAAATCTTTACCCACTTCTCCAGGCCGGAGAGCAAGCCATCAAATCAAGAATGCTTCACTGTGCTCTGAGGACTGGGGCGCGGGGCCCTGGGCTGTGTTGATGTTGATATACTGGTTGTGCTTCTGAAAACGAATGGAGAAGTTTGCCAAAAGTCAAAGACCCACTCATATTTGTAGTCTTCTTCCCACGCTTAAACTGGATAAGAAAAATTATGGCTTTCAAAATTAAAGTTCTCAAAAATATATCGCTCTCATACATAGACATGGTTAAAAAAACCAACATAAGCCTGTCATCACAAATCTAAAGGATTATTTTGACACAAAAATGGATCCACCACATAAAATTTAATTTGGCAAAACATATTGAACTTGATTTTTTTTTTGAGACTATGCTTTTGTTGGCTGAGGGAGACGGGGAAATTTCAGGAATAAGTGGATAATCACCTTTTAAGGTGATTTCAATTGACAGTGGTGGGAAAACAAATTCCTATGAAGTAAAATAACATATATTAAAAAAAAAATAACACCAGGGAGAAAAAGTTCCTGGAGAGTGGAGAGAGGGTTTTTGCAAAAACTCCAGCTACTAGTTGGAATATGGACCAGCCTTGCTCCTGAAGACCCGCCTGGGTGCCCTCTAGAACGGCTGCTCTCGGGCGCCGGCTCTGACCACTCTAAGATGGTGACTCATGCACCCACTTCCAGAATTTGACCAGCCCTTGAAGGTTTTCTAGCTTCGCTGAATTAATCTGGCCGACCTGGCTGAGGGCAAGCTGTCACTGTAGGAACACTTCAGCCAGCTGTGCCCTCCACATACACAGCCACCGCCCCCCCAGCCCCGGCCCCCGAAGGAGAGACAGGCTGGGGTGGGCGGGCAGGGTCTGGGGCGGGAGGGGGAGGGAAGGGTTTGGCCCGAGCTGTGGAAGAGGCCAGGAGGCCTGCCCTCTGCCCAGTTTCTTCCTGGAGGGTGCTGGGCAGCCCTGCGCTGTCAGATAAAACTAGGGGTCAGCAAACTCTTTCTATAAACGGCCTGACAGTAAATATCTTGGGTTTTGCAGACTACACGGTCTTGCTGCATATTAGTTTATTTTTTTTATAACCTCTTAAAAAGGTAAAAACCACTCTTAGTTCATGGGCCACACACCGCAGTTTGCTGGCCTCTGAGTTAAACTTTTCTCACCACGTCTCCTCTCTCTCCACAATATTTTAACATCACGTCTTGCTGAGGACACCAGAGGAGCTCCTCCCCTCAGCCCAGAGCCCTCGGTGGCATGACGCACACAGAGAGTCCACCTGACTCCTCCAGGGGCACCGACGGAGCCCAGGCCGGACGACAGAGCTTCCTTCGCTCCGTCCTTGCCACCAGAAAGAGTGAAAGGGAAACAGGAAGCAGGGTCCTCACTTACCGCTTCTCTCAGAGAAGCTGCTGCCGAGATGCTCCTGGAGAGGGGCTGAGGGTTTCTCTCTGCTGAAATCCCCTTTTCCTCCCCAAATATGAGTAGATGTGACCTAACAAACCTGAGTGCCGGAGCTCCTGGCAGGACCACCCACATCTCAGAACCAGCGCCCCTGCCAGAACTCGGGCGCTTCCAAAACCTCAACATGATCACACTGGACTCAGCAGGGAGACTCAACAAGGCTTCGTAGGTCTTCTCCCGGGGAGAGTGGAGGGGGGCAATTTATACTCCACCATCAGCAACAACGGAGAGCATCACAGACATCTCCCTGACCCGACGCCAGCGGGGCCAGACACGTGTCCCTCAGCCGTAACAGCACCCAGGACAGAGAACTCCACTGCCAGGCGACGATCCCCAAGCACCAGAGCTGGCTCAACGCCCTCCTGTGACCTCACCTAGCAGCACGTGGTGCCGGCCAGTTAAAAATCTTAACACTTTTGGGGGTCCTAACCAAAAAACTTAAAAAAAAAAATTTTTTTTTTGGAAAACCTTTTTGTGAGACAGCATTATTCCCTGGAATGAGCCTTGGTCATTATTGTATTTTACAAATAAAAAGCACAGCAAGAACAGAGGTAGGACTTATATTGCCATCCAAGAGGTTTCCCACGGGGGCTGGAATGGGCTGGGGACGTGCGCGCTCAACTTCTCTGTTGCACGCTGCAAATGGACTATTTCTGCGGTGGGGCACGTCTGGATGCTCTTCTGGAACCATGATGCCCTTGAAAACACAGCACTCGGGACCGGAGTCCACTGGCCGACAGCTGCTGGTTCTCCCAGGCCACACGACCGATACGCCCCCTTCTTCTTGTGCTGTGTGTTAGAGATTTTTGTTTCTTCTCCTCCTCTCCATGGCAAGAGGGGGGAAAAGTTAGGTTAACGCCAATTGTTTAAGAGAAATCAGGACAGAAGGGGCTGACCAAAGTCCACAGAGGAACTGAAGGAGGGACGGCGTGAAGATTTAAGTCCAAACACGCCAGAAGATGGGTCAGCTTTTGCTTGCCCACGAGGGGCTTTTCAAGTTTTCTGCGGCCGATTTCCCTGACAGTCTGGAGGCTGCAGCTGGGTTCCGTGGGGCTGCCTGGGGCTCATGCAGGAAGGAAGACGCGCTCAACTTGGCGCCCTGGGAGTCGGCAGGGGTGGACCCATCGGCCTCGCCGGACAGGTCTTCAGTGGAGAAGTTGAGGCTTCCGAGCTTGGCAAGAGAGTGAGAGCGCTTCAGGGGGGACGAGACGGTGAGGCCCGCCAGCCGGAGCCGCGTCTCGATCTCCTGCGTCCGCTGCTTCACCAGCCCCGGCTTCCCGCGCACGCTGTGGATGCTGTCACTGCTGGAGCTCCGGGTCAGGTTGGAGCTCATGGAGGAGGAGGTGGGGGTGTAGCAGATGGTCCTCAGGAAGTCTTTTGAGAAATGACTGGTGTGATCCAGGCGGCAGAGGGAGGGAGGGGGGCTCTTCAGCGAGGCTCCTTCTAAGGGAGGGGGCGAGGCCTCCGACTTCTCACTGCCGGCCTGCCTGGGCGAAGCCGGGGGCCCTGGCTGAGGGCCAGGAGCTGGGTCCTGGCTCTCCTCGGGGATGCTGGCCTCCAGCCTGCTGGTGGGGCCGTCCCTGAGGGGAGACGCGGGCTCCGCAGGTGTGACCGTTAACCTCTCCAGCTCTTTGGTGTGCTTGCGGACCAGGCCCGCCTTCTGCAGCTGGATGATGGACTCCTGGTGCTGCATCAAGTAGCTGCTGGCGGTTGGTTTCTCGGATTCTTTACTGAACAGGAGCCGCAGGTCCTTGGCCGGCTTCGCATCTTTCTTGGGTGGCGATTCTTCTTTCGCTGCTTCCACACCCGGAGGGCTCCTATCACAGTGAGAATTCTTCAAAAGGAGGGACTTCGGCAGGGCTTTTGGGGTCTCTCTAGAAGGTTCCAAAAGGCTAGCTGGTGCCTCTGAGCCACTGGCATCTGGCCTCGAGCCTGCTGGTGGCAGCAATGGGGGCGTCTCGGTCAGGCCGGAGGTCAGCTTCTCCAATGCTCGGGACCGG